CCCATGACGATTTTATTGGATAAATTTACTACTTCAATATGATTTTGTTATTTTGTTATATATATATCTGTTAAAATATCTGTTTTTTTATTTGTTCGTGATTGAGACGACAGATTTTCAATCACACCCTGTATATATTTGCACACGCACACACACATATACATGTATGTATTTTTTGTAAAAAATTTTTTAAAAATAAGAACTAATGCGGCAGAAATTTATAGAAACAAGGATCTTTTCATTCATAACGGGTTCGGAGGTTTTTGTATATTATTTGAATTGTTTGCGACGATGGATTTCTCGCCAATTAAATCATTAACCTTTGCATTTGTTTTTGTGTGAATAATTCATGAATTTGTAAATTGATTGCACGTTTATCGAAATTTATATATATATATATATATATATATATATATATATATGTGTGTGTGTGGTCATTTTGTGTATATGTACCTCTCGCTTGTACATTGCATATATGTCTACGTTGTGCATATACACGCATATATATATATATATATATATATATATATATATATATATATATATATATATATATATGTGTGTGTGTGTGTCATATATATATATATATATATATATATACACACACATTTCATAGATAGATAGATAGATAATATTAGTGGTAAATATACACATACATATGCAATCATATATCTAGAATTTATAAATATATATACATACATACATACATACACATACATATATATTTGTATAAAAAATAATTCCAAGAGTATAGAATCCAGGTAGAACTCAATGTCCAGGGCAGAGTAAGGATATAATAAAAAGGCTTAAACACTAATATTCCATGGTCATAATTTATTCCATTGGAATCGTAAATACGATCCAATTCATCATACCTACAAATATATATATATATATATATATATTTATTTTGTTCGGAGTCATTTTCATTTCATTGTTCTCCTTCTGATATTTGTCACCAAATCAACGAAAGAAACACAAGTTAGCCCTGCTGTTCAACTCAGTTTGGGCGAAAGATATGATGGATTCATATATTTTGTAAGAGAATTTTTACAAGAATAATTAACTCGGTCGTAATTCGAACTTGCCTCGCCTACTTCTCATTCCGAGTTGCTGAACGTTTAATTACCCTTACATCGAAAGAAGCAAATATGTGTACCTTGTTTTTCCACGTGTTCTTATCCATAAGGGACGCTATTCATCAATATGTCGCCCTACGAACGAAGAAGCGTAAGAATAATTTTGGCACGCTACCAGAGTGAAGACATAGACCAGAACTAATAGCTATATGATACCTTTAAACATTCACTAACAGTCAAGATTATATCCGGTATTTTTCGAAATGACTCTCAGGTATCCTATGACGCTAATACATTATCCACTATATTATTATTATTATTATTATTATTATTATTACTACTACTACATTGCCACATGTCAAGTACTGACACCATCGGCGCTAATACAGATTATATTTTACTGGAATAATTTTTCTGAAGATCTGAAATCTTCTATGTGCCCTGTAGGGACACGGGACATGCAAGAACCTTGAGGATCGTGGATTTCCAGATTTTCAGCAAGTTAGCGATCATGGCTATCCACAATGTTCTGTTCTTTGTAGCTCTTAATATATTTCGCCTTTTTTTTATTTTGCCTAAACCTTGTTCCCTGGTCCGTTTACTCAAGTTCGCTAATTAGGTTATGCGTTCTTTTCCTCTGTCATTTTTTATTTCACCGTCTCTCTCTCTCTCTCTCTCTTTCTCTCATTTCCCAGTCTCTCTTACCTTATTATGTGCACAAGAAATGTCAACTGTCTCTTCCTGATGTTAAGTATAAGTATACTTATTTCTTTTTTTTCTAAAACTTCGTCGTTGCTCACATGTTCGGTCCATGTTATTCTCAGTATCCTTCTGCTGAACGACATTGCTCTTGCTTTAAGTCTCTTCTTCATATGATCAGATTTTCCAGCATTCGTTGTTATATAGGAAAACTGATATTACTGTCAGCGAAATTGGAAACAAACAGTCTGTATTTCGATAGAAATAGAAAGTGAAGTAGAACAGTGATGTGTTTTATATTTATTGGATCTATACTGACGAGGTGATTCTAAAAGAACTGGAATTGCTATCAGGACATGTTTTCAAGGGACAGTATATGAAAAATATAAGTTACGTGGATGGTACTGTGTTGATTGCGGTCTCAGCAGAATCTCTTGGATAGGCAGCAAAGAAAGAAAAGAAGAATGCGCTTACTATTGTATGTAGGCAGAATATATGGTCGTTAGAAAGAGAAACAGCTCAACGTGTGTGCTTCGAATTGGAGACGTCAGAATCAGATATAGGAATGTAACGTTCTCGCTAGTATATTAATGCACGACAGAAAATGTTGAAGTCACATTAGATTAAAGAAAATTGCCTTCCAGAAACAAAACCAAGTATAAGAGATTGAAAACATTCGTTACAAACATAGTGCTAAACTGCTAAGTAATACCAACCTCCAGAGAGTGGATGATTCACAGCTTCCTTACAAATGAGGATCGAAGCAAGATAAATCTGATTCTATAAACAGATGTCGAGAATACCATAGACTGAACATGGGAGAAACGAGGAAGTTTTGAAGAAAAAGATTAAATAAATGAAGACTGATAATTAAAATCAAATATATATTCCTGGTATTTTTTTCTGGTCAGCTTTCCTTCTTATTACCTAGTATTTATGAATTTAAGCGCAGTACTAGATTGGCTGCTAGGTCACATTATTTTACAGATGTGACCGTACGTTTTATGCCAACATTTTCTTCTCACAAATTTATCTCTTGTAGAATTCTAAATCGGCTTTTTGCTTTCCTGTCAACTTTAATCATCAAAAAAAAATGTTGAAGATTATATAACGTCAGAAAATATTTTTAGAATGTAAGATCTTTTTTTAAGACAATAATGGTTTAGTGATACAAGTCGTATTAATTAACCCATAGCTAGGAGAGAAGAGAAAAATTTAAATACATCGTCATTTGCTATATGCTACCTTCTTTATTCCTGTTCTTTAATTGTTCTCCCTCATAAATAATTTTCTCATATTTTTCACAATCAGTAACCCCCTTGCGTCTTAGTGACTTTATTTCCTTGATGATTTAAAGTGATTAAAAAGTACAGGCGTAATTTCTTCGAAACATGATGAGAAATGCTTGGAACTCTCGTGAGGAAAGACAGAGTACAGAGAAACAGCGTGTGACCTATGTAACGGATTTATATCGTTACATAGGGGAGCGGGAACGAGGTCATGGCAAAAGGTCAAACATTATTGACAAGGGACAGTTGTTTTTTAGAACCATGATCATGCATATCCTGACCGATTACAGAAAAAAAAAACTGTTAGAAATATTCGCGAAAAAGTCATTCAAAACCTTTTTATCTTTTGAAAAAGGAAATCGACAGTCATTAAATGAATGAAGAATATTGACATCAAAGGGAGCAAATCGTGTCAAAAAATTAAAAAAAAAACACTAAAAAATCGTCAGACTATCGCGAGATCTATATCATCATTTACTTCTTCGCAACCAACTGGCGAGATAAAATCTTGTAGGACACCACGTCAGAACCACGAACAAAACAAAATTTCCTAGAATGGCGATTTATTAGAATGACAAGAGTTTCTTATACAAACAAATGAAAAGTGCATATATTTGTAAAATAACAATAGATAGTTGCCCATCGACTTATTTAGAAATCCATATTTCAACACACATTTTCCTGGTGTTCGTTGAAACCAGCGGTCCCCAAACTTTTTCTCTGGGCTGCATTTTCGGAATGAAAAGTTACTCATGTTTCATCAAATTTTATATGATAAAGAGTCCATCTAAAAATTTTATATGATAAAGAGTCCATCTAAAAATTTTATATGATAAAGTGTACATCTAAAAATTTTATATGATAAAGAGTCCATCTAAAAATTTTATATGATAAAGTGTACATCTAAAAATTTTATATGATAAAGAGTCCATCTAAAAATTTTATATGATAAAGAGTCCATCTAAAAATTTTATATGATAAAGAGTACATCTAAAAAAATTATATGATAAAGAGTCCATCATCTAAATATTTTATAAATTTTATATGATAAAGAGTCCATCTAAAATTTTATATATGATAAAAATTTTATATGATAAAGAGTCCATCTAAAAATTTTATATGATAAAGAGTACATCTAAAAAAATTATATGATAAAGAATACATCTAAAAATTTAAAAGTAATAAACTGAGATAAGGTTAAAGGGTGATAATCTCAGATTCGAAGTCAGAAAATGTTCATTGATAACTCTCTCCTCCAATTTGCGGACCTAAGTTACTGCATTCGTAAAACTTGATATAATGCAAAAATATCGCAGTGATAAAATCGGTCAAATAATTATTTATACCTAATTATAATTTCATTCATGCATGCAATTACAAGTTGTCCATAATATTTTAAATTTTGAAGTCATATTTATTTTTGGCATATGATTTTTTGAAACTATTTCTAAACCTTTGAGTGCCTTCCCTTCATTCTGCCTCACCTGCTATCCTCTTCTGTCGCACTGTTTGGTAACCACTGGTTTAGAGTGATGCCTTATGTTTTCTCATATGTTATAAATATTTTACTTCAAATTCCTATTTGTTTAATTTCAGTGAAAGTTTTTAAAATTGTAACATATTTCATTGAAATTTTCACATTCGACAATTACGAGTTATAACTAAAATTTACGATTGAGTCATTCATATTTTACGGTTTATCACTCATTTTCAGGTTATTTAAAGCCGGAAAATATTTTTAGATTTTTTTTTCTTTTTTGAGATAGTAATAATTTAGTGATAAAAGTCTTACTAATTAACCCATAGATGTGGAGTGAAGAGGTGGATTCATGACTTTCTTCAGGGTATTTGTGTATAAAATAATATAACGAACCCAATGGGAATTTTAACTCAACACTCTGATTAACTCTGATGCCCATTATCCATTACACTAGCCTCATATTCCCAAAAAGTTAACTATCTAGGTACTGACCAGGCTCGATATTGTTTAACTTCGGAGACCGAAGGGGAGCCGGTGTTTCAACGTAATGTGGTCGTTAACCAACTCTAATTTGACACGGGGAAAGAAAGGGTCACTTTAAATTAACGCCAGGTAGACATGGATTAAAATATTTCGTAATCGTTTTATTCAAATACGCCTTACTTTATACATTACTGTTTTTAGATATCCTGTTGTGTATATTAGTCGTATCATAGGAAAATAAAACCCTTTTAAATCTGTTTTTATTTTTATCAAGTTTTATTTTAATCAATATTTACAAGAGAAAAGAGCTACATCGTTAAACAAGTACTTGACAGCTTTAGGATGAAATTTCTGAGTTTTCATTTATCAACCTTATTCGAACTACTTTATTTGAAACAACTTTTCAGCCATTCCTTAGAGGTATGTTTAATTTCTTCTTTATAATACACTGTGTCATTTTATTGTCTTCTTTTCTTTTCCTCGTTTTAAATGATAAAGATATCAGTTTAACTGATGCGCATGACTGGGTATAAAGGTCTCGCGAGAACTAAAGTGCGGGCGAGATTGTAATATGTCCTCTGGCTGATCTCTGTTTTGGGACGTGTTAATGGTTTCCGATTCTATGATTCCCGCGTCTTACGGTTTCGCGAAAGAGCGGGAAGACAAACAAGATTAGAATGTTTCATCTAGTTAACCGCAGGTGTGAGACAGATTGAGTTTCTGTCACTATTTTTTAGAGAAATGGCTATTTGTAAGTGGCCGTGTCGTGTGCTTAACGTGACCCACCAAAATCTGTTTCTTTTGTTAAACTTTCTTTTGCAATGTTTTCTGTATGTCTTTCAAATCTACACTCTGGTATTTTTTGCATACATTTCTTTCACAAAAATACATGTTGCTTTTTTTCTCAACTTACAGTAATTCCATCTGTTCTTCTTCGCTTTGGTTTGGTTTGTTTTCTTTTACGGCATATCAACCTCAAGAGGTTATTTAATGCCGACAATATTTTTATTACTAGTAATTTTTTTTTTTCAAAAATGTATTGCTGGGATATTTTTTTAATGTATAGCTGGTAATTTTTTTTCAAAATTTCATTGCAGGTAATATTTTTTCTTCAAAACTTTATTGCTGGTAATAATTTTTTACAAATTATTTCTGGTATTAAAACAAATTTTTTTACATTTTTGTAATGTTTTGACCTCATTTTGGGGGTTAACTATTTGTCAATAACTGGAACCTTAACAGCTGCTACCACCCCGGATCAGATTGGACCTGGGAATACCAGCAATTAAGAAATGATTCTACACTCCTCAAAACCTGATCAGAGGCCTTGTTGTTGGACGTAGTTTATCGTCTTACCACCGACGCGGATGTAGTTTGTCATATGCAGGACGTGGATGTAGTTTAGCCTCATACGCAGGACGGATTTCTTTTTCTGTCTCTGTAATTTTCATATCAATTTATTGTATAATTTTTCCTCAATTTTAAACATTATTTTTTCTCATAACATGTTGATTTCTTTGGAATAGAAACACCTTTTTGTTAAATTTCAGTTCCTTTTTCGGCATTGATATCATTTGTAAAATTATATAATAATCATCTAAGATGTCTATTCTTAATTATTTTCATTTGATTTGAACTTGAAACACATGCTCGAGTTTATGATTGTCAAACTTTCCAAAAAATCAAGATTATTCTTATTTACATTAGAAATATTTTCCTCGTCTTGGCCGAGTAAATTAAAGCGTTGGCTCGTGAATTTGGTAATATATTTATTGTGAGTTCAATTCCTGGTCAAACAAGCGTAGACATAAACAGAATGGAAATATTTATTTACTAACGTTCATCCTATCAATGAGCACCGCGAACAAAATGGCCAACGAAGGATTTTGTGAACGATAACCGTTAACTCTAGACATTAACAGTTAAAGATTGTAGTGATCGCGCGAAAGAATTCTTTTGGGAGTGTAGTGTTACAGCTCAGACCGGACACTAGATACATTCTCAGTGTGCAGCTTCTTCCTGTCAAACACATTGTGGCTTAAAAATAACCCTAGATCGTCACCCACGAATTTAAACTATGGCACTTTCGTAGTGGTAGGGCACTTTTATTGTGGCTATAACCTACTACTTTAGACTAACGAGGTAGAGAGGTGACGTGAGGAGAACAGGTCTAACGGCGTTTACCCTATCCCTTTCTCTTCCCTTTCGTTGTGAGATGATCTTCTCATCGCTCTCTGTTACTCTGTGTTTTCCTCTGGAAGTGACCACTGTCTTATAGGGAACATTGTTCTCTGACTTGTCAACTTTGTCTAAAAAAGTAATTTGTTTTTATTCAGTGACCTTCTTTGTCAAAGTTGCTTGTCATGGGACTTGTTAAGTCCACTTCCATCTTCAGGAAAATAAATGTCCGAAACCGGTTTCATGAGAGGTCAGATGTTTTCCATTTAACAAGTTATCAGCTGACACTGATATCGCTACATCAGTCGCTTTCACAAAGAAGGCGTTCGTGGTAAGAAACTGTTTGAGTGGAATACTAATAGAATATGAAGGGAATGAGGTTGGTTCGCATCAGTATAAGCAGAGTGCTGGGTTACAGCTGGGAAGTTTAGAGTTGGTGGAACAAATCATTGTATCTTTTCTAAACATTTTTCATGAATAGAGTGATAGAGTAACGATATGTTTGTAACATTTTGTCTGTGGGAAAGTGGTAGTAGAGTAGAAAATGCTTTATCACCCACAATTCCGTGTAGACATTTTGGACACTTCTATAGGGGAAAGTGACAGAATGGGTAATAACTAACTAGTAATAAATAAACGCGAGGGATGAAGAGAAAAACTAGAATAATCAACCCTCGTCGATAACGAAATGGTAAAGTTCGATGTTCACTGGATCCCCCCCCCAGTGAACATCAAATGTCAACATTCATCTTACAAAAACACCTGATGTAAATCAGAGGGAACAACGACTGAAACGTTGTGATAATATCACACACGATGAGGACAAAAGTCTGAATGTAAATAATAATGCCACATTCAATAAATTAAATCATAAATTAACGATTATTATATTAATTAATTATTCATTTAATTATGTCTAAAATCTGTAAGCAGCTTCTAAAAACTTTAATGTTTGTTTTATAGTGTCATCATCCTTATAAAAGATTACAAAACTGAAAGATTATCTTCATTAACCCTGTCTATCTATTGATCTATCTTTTTAATAGCGATGTCTTCATATATCAGCCATATCATAACTAACATGCCGTAAAATTATAGCAGGGTTACCGGCTTACGGCCACATCACTGTGAATCAATTAAGTGCACCGAAGTTAAGCAACGTCAAGCCTGGTAAGTATCAAATGCGTGACCGCTTGGTAATTCTAGGCGCTGTAAACATCGATGTGAGGAGAGTGTAATGAATAACGGGTCGGAATTGGAAAATCAGAGATCTAAAATTTCAGTTGGGTTCGTTATTTTCCCTTACGCGCAAATACCCTTAGGCTCCATCGCTTCTCTCCCTAGCTATAGGTTAATTACTAGGACTTGTATCAGTAAATCGTTATTATCTCAATTTTTTTTATACATATGTAAAAATATTTTTCTCGCTTTAAATAATTTCTAAATGATTGACAAGCCATAAAAAAATGAAATCAATCATTCAATATGGAACGCTTAGCATTTCCTTATAATTTTATCAATTTTTCTACCAGCCGCGAAAATATTAAATAACATCTAAGACATCGCAATATATTAAATAACAGCTGAGAGCAACAGTATGTGAGATTTATTCTCTACATTGTTCTGCTATATGATAAATATATCTTGGTTGCCATGGGAGTTAAAAACGCATTCACGCTGCACAATATCTAAAGATTTCTTATCCAAATTTAAATGTCGTCTCTTCTTAATATAACCAGCCAAACTCTCGAGTCGGACACTGAGAAAACCAGGCGGCATTATTCTTGACTCGTCGCTATAACCGTAACGATCTTTATATAACAGTTCAGAATCAAATTTATCAGTCCCTTTCCATATTGGCCAGTGGCCAGTTGGCCAAAGTTGTAAAGCAATCATAAAGAGTAGAGTGATAATTTGTATGAATACAAATTTACGCTATTGGTTTTTGATAAGTTTTATACTTTTTACCTACTTTTTCCCCCGTGTCAATGTAATTAATTTATTCGTTCCTTTTCTTTCACTCGGATGGATCAATTTGACTTAACTTATCTATTAATGCTTAGCAACAGTTTTATTGACAAGAGGGTTCAAGATTTGATAGTTTATTTAGACGATTGTCTTTATACTTGCTAGCGTTCTTCTTTGGTAGATTTTCCAGCTTTCCTCGGGTAAAAAATTAGATTTGATTAAATAACATTAAGAATTAAATTCATGTTTGACCCAGATCGTAAACTGACACACACACACACACACACACACACACACACACACACACACACACACACACACACACACACATCCTGTGTATATATTTATATATATATATATATATATATATATATATATGAGATCGGTAAACGATATATATTTTACTATATCAAGAACAGTATTGAGGAAATTGTAAATGTTTATTTGTGACGCGTTTCATTTGTTAAGATTTCATCGAGCGGGTTTTATTGTTGTTGTTGCGACTACACTCTCTCTTTCTCTCTCTTTCTCTCTCTCTCTATATATATATATATATATATATATATATATATATATATATATATTGGTCATCTCGATGCTTGTCTTGCTAGAAGATTTATATCTGAGTAGAGTGTTCGATTCTCACTGGTTGTCCCATCATTCGGCCGTGTGCCACATCTAAGCTACGCTTGGAAAATCACTATATATACATATATATATATATATATATATATATATATATATATATATATATAGATAGATAGATAGATAGATATATTTCATGTATACGCAGGTATGTAAACCTTGACGTTCTATTAAGGTGTTAACTATGATGATTCTATGCAAAGTTGTCAATCCAATCAAGTGACAATTAAAATATTTGATCTTTATTGATTAGATCAGATTTTGTGTAGTTTAAGCCGAGAA